TGGAGGAAAAATGCCTAAAAAAAAATAAGGTGAAAACCTACAAGTACATGATAAATCAATCAAATATCAATCTGGACTAAAATACAAAGTATGCAAATTTTGTTTGCGCTGCAGCTAGACAAAAGGTGATAAAAATGTTTTAAAACTTAGTTTTTAAGGATTCAAACTTTAAATAAGATTTCTACTGAGTAAAGATGCAAAGACAAGGAAATTCAAAACCATCTTTCCACTACATTTTCTAGAGATATAATATTCTTGCTTAAGTGCCTTTGAAATTTCAAGGACCACGTTAACGTACTCTGCAACAACCTAATCAATACACTGCCTTGGCCTACTGCTTCTGCCTTCCAGACTCAAACCCTTTTATACACAAAACGCATCACACTGAGTTGACATGGGCCAACCACTACCCTGCCGACAACACTGTGCACCACTTCTTCACAAGCATTCAGCATCATCAGCAGTTGGAAGCTTTTATTTTGCCAAGAGATCCTCAGTGGGGGAAAGCTCTGTGATGGACCCTGACCGCCTTCTGGTGAGACAGTCCCACAGAAGAGAACTCAGGCTCTACACACACGCAGGAAAAAAAATTCCTTGGAATTCTGCATGTTTTCGCAGGTTTTACACTGAACAAAAGAAAAAGCTAGTGTGTTTGCTGAGACTTTTCAGGGCTTTGCCTACTTAGCAAAATTCTGAAACCCACAGCGCTCGCAGAAACACAGCAGTGGTCACAATGGCCATACCAATGAAGTATTTTATCATTTATACAGTGCAACTCAGTATCAAACTGAGCAGCAGCTACAAAACTCAAGTCTTTCCTACCTTTGAAAACACTTCTATTCATAATAAAACTGCAAAATTCAGTCTCTTCTACTTTCACAGAATTACTAAAAATTGCCCAAATACCTTTTTGTTTCCAAGCCACCATTTCCAGCACTGAATCTCCCCACAAGTCTTCAAACTTTGTCATGCTCTTGGCTCCGTGGCAGCAGCAGCAAGCACCCCTCACTACAGACCAAGCGCAAGGGCTTCAAATACTGGCAATACTAACCATCGCTTGAGAGAACTCCCCCACAGAGCTGACTTTTAAGACAGATTTCCTAAGAAAGAAAACTACTGGAAGGAGCACGTGCCAAAATACGTTGTAGAAGTACATCTTCACAGGAGACTGAACTCTCTGACTCAAAAGTTTAGTCCAAACCCTATTACAAGCTCCCCAGAAAAACCTCCTAGCCTCGGCTTGAAATGGGTCAAGGCCCACTGGCCAACACTTCATTCAATAGGGAGCACACCTATGCCTGAGTAAGATTTCAGATCAAGCCCTTCAACAGCTGACAGACCTCCAGTGCCTTTCCCACAGCTCCACAGAGCAGGGAAGTCCTGCCACACCTACTCTAATTCCCCAGGAAAGAGTCCAAGAGCACCTTTGCCTAAAAAACTGGGGAGCAGACCTCCCCATGAGGTCTCCTCCACTGAGCCAGTGAAGAAGGGTTAGTCCCCATGTTCAGCTCGAGACGCTCATTATCCAGACCAGCCATGCAGTGATGAGGTACAGAGCTGGCCACGGCATCCCTAAACAAGCTTGCACCCTGAGGATTCACACCGAGAGGCAGAACCAGCTTACAGGAGGGCCCAAGAAACTATTAAGTCTCCTTGGGAAAAGCAGAGAGAGGGAGGCCAGTTCGTGGCTGGCATGCAAGGGGGAAACTTATTTTTCCTATTAGAATGGATATTGCAATACTGCAGTGCTACCTAGGTATACAGACAATAGAACCTGAGCAAAATGCAGTGGCACACCCCTATTTCATGTTATCTTAATGAGTCTACCACCTATTAAAATTAATAAATCAAAGGCACTCCCTTTCTATAGCCTCCACTGACCACATTGCAATTCATGCATGAGGAGTATTCTGTGGTATGGTGCCCTGCTCACTGGAGCTGACAGCTGAGAAAAATAACTCAGAGGTGGGAGAGTGTATGGAAAACATACTGTCCATCCCATCAGCATATTACAATGCTCAAACATTGCTTCACCTGAGAAATATGAGCGGAATGTGTGAGACCACATCTAACACCAGTAACAGACTGAAAGGAGGTAGCTTAAATTGGGGGGGGGGGGGCGCAGAAAGAGGGAAGACATGTTTTGGAAAACAGACTGTTCCATCTCCCATCAAAATCACTACAAAAGAGTTTATGTCTTATAGTTTGTCAAGAAGTTTCGTCTGAAAAAATAACTAGAGGTAGGGCAGTGGGTATTCAGAAGGTAAACAAGAAATAAGACTGTGCTTAGGTTGTAAATTTTGTTTCATGTGCTCAAAAATGTCACAATGGAAGATTAGAAACTGTTAGGAAAGGACTAAAATCATAAAAAACGCCACAAAACAGAACATATCACAGTGCTTTATAAATCAAGGGTGCACCCACACACTGGGTATGTTCTGTTCATTCCTCTCTCCCATTTCTAAAATGATTCAGTTGGATTATGCAAGGCACAGAGAATGGCTTCTTCAAGAAAAGGAAAAGTTAAGGTTGGAAAAAGGAGTTCAATTTTTTATTGAAGACTGAAAGAAGACATGACAAAAGTCTGCAGAATGGTGGGAGGCATAAAGAAAGGAACAAGGACTGGATTAGGATTCATAACACAAAAAGCATCTAGCTAAATTATCAGGCAGAAAGTTGAAAAACAAACAAAAGGAAGTGATAATAAAAAACAAACAAACAACCAACCCAATACCTCACCAAATTACAGAATTCATTGCCACAGGAAACATCACACACGCTTCTGGAAGACAGGTCAGCCCTGTCTGTATATAATACCTAGATACACAATAGTCAAGATGCAACCTTCTGCTCTGGAGTCTGCTAGAAACTAGAAATCTATAGCAGAGATGGAGCTTGCCATATGTGCTCCTTCTTACACTCCTCCCTAACTTTTCAGTATCACTCATTATCAAGAGACTGAATACTGGACTAAACAGATCACTGACCAGATCCATTACAACCACCATTACCAGCTTCTGGTTTTAATCTGTCTTACTTCCCTGCAGGAGACCCTGGCAACCGAGTCCTGGAAGCTCCAAAAGCGTTAACAGAATACATAGGGATGACTACGTGCCACACCAATATATAATTTATTTCTAAAGTAGAATTACAAGAAATAATCTGAAGCAGTGGTGAAGAAACAGGCTTGCATTATATCATCATAAAATCTATTTTCTCTGCAGAGCAGTGGTTGATCATTAACAGGTCATTAAAATGTGTACAAAGCATAAAGATTGGTCCTGGTCCCAGGGCACTTTCCACATTAAACGCTTTAAGGTTTTTGAGGGCTGCATTCAGGGGCACACTACTGTTTAGTGATGCCTGTAAATTCTGACTTAACGCTCGTGTTTTGCCTGAGGATCTGCACACAGGGAGACATTTATATAGCCTACTGTGTCCCATGCATACGCTGACTTTCCCGTCCTTGCTAACACCGTGCTGGCCATGGTTTTATCTACATGGCCACAACCTCATCTTTGCCCATAGCATCCTGTTATCTGACGAAAGCACCTGCACAGAATCCAGTGCGACAGGCCCATCCCAGGTCAGGCAGGAGAAAGACCTGCAGCCAGCCGCAAAGTTGCCGCAGCTGAGCGGGAACGCACTGGTTACTGCTATCAGCAGCTCCATCGCGGCCACAGCTTAATGTAAAAATAAAGAGGGGTGGTGCAAAACACCAAAGACAAACAGCCTGTCCTGAAAAGCACTTACTTGCCTCTCCAGAAGGGCACTGGGTGAAAGAGTTGGAAGGCAATGACCTCCACAGCGCTTAATCTCTAAAAGTGACCTCAACGCAAGGAGCCAGCCTGGCCTCTTATCTAGCCATCACCAGGGATGCGAATGAAAGGAACGCTGCTGCTCCCTTTTCCTTCCACTTCAGCAAGGCCTGGCTGCAGCAGGGATTACTCCCACCACCTAGCATTTCCCAGAAAGACACACCTTGCTATCACGCAGCAATGCTGGTGATTTCTAATTCACTGTCTCCACAGTTTCCTGATGGAGGTGGGAGAAGTGGTACTGCTACAGGAAACACTGAAGTATCAAGGAGCTGGGAATTACTCACTGGAATTCCTGCTATGCTTTGCTCTTCAGCAACAGAGAAAGGAAAATGTGAAGTAATAATATATTAGATCCAAACACAAAATAATCTGCCTTTTCAGTTACTTTCTGAGGAAATTTTCACTTAATGCTGCTTTTGAGTACAGATTTTAAAGCAATTTCAAAGAAAAATAGTCACAGACACATGCACAGCACAAGATACATATTTTTTGTTTCCTAGCAGTTGCTTTTGTGCAGCCTCTAGAGGTAGGGTTTTTGGGGAAAAACTTGAAGATTCGGTACAAACACCTTCAGTTTTAAAAATAGCACATAAATTCCAAGCTCTGATCATTTTTTCTTTTGAAAACCCTGGTTTTAAATCATCAAGATAGGTGAAACTACAAGGTTAAATGATTCTGTATTTAACATTCAAATATTAATGCATTTTGGAGCTCTGAGTAAAGGTTGTAGCTGATTTCTTTGAGCAGTAACGTTCGTAAGTTGGTCCTTTAAACAGTCCTGTCCTTCTACAGGCAGTACAGAACCAAAAATACACCCTGTATTATGACCCATGTGAGACACAGTAGTAATTGAGTGATAAGTCCTATGATCAAATTCATACAATGCCATACGATTTCACTGATTTGAATTTTAAAAGCATCTTCATACTACAAAATTACATGCAGATTTGAGAGCTCATATTAATAGAGAACATCAACTACTCAGTGGAAGCACTTAAAAGGGCTCAGTGTGCTTCTTTGCTGCAAGTTTAATACATACATACATTTAAAAAAAGAAAACCATACTGGCAGGCTTTTTAAATTCTTATGTTGAGATTTGAAGCCAAGATTTGGACAAAGGAAGAAATTTTTTCCCACATTTAACAAGAAGTTTTACGGATGATGAATTTTGTATCTCAAAGAAAGGGTTTCAGGAATGCAGCTGCAGTTTAACTGTGGGACAGGGCTTGCCCCCTCTCCCTTTCGGTTAGGATTTTTGGGGGGTGTTTCTTGGGTGGGGCAGATGACAAACGCAAGATACCACCTTTTGTTTGTGCAGATGTAGTGACTGGCTCACAAATAGATGGGTATGTTTCTGAGAAGGGCTGCAGGCTTTCAACTCAAATAGTAGAGACCTATTTCTGGAGGTACAGAACAGGTTATAGCCCTTGTGCTCTCAGAACAATTTCTCCTTTATAAAGCACACATACAAACTGTGACTGCAGGTTTAACCTGCTGCACACACTGAATACATGGCTGTCTGGTACTTTTGGAAGTGCATTGTGAGGAAACGATTCCCCTTGCATGGAAAAAAATTAGGGAAAAAAAGACTACTACCTTCAGTCATCTTTAACTCAGTATTCTCTTTTTACTTTTTCTTTTATTATTTAAACTGGAAAAGCTCAGAAGTGGATTCTGAGCTCAAAAGATACAAGGTCATATGTGTCTGGCTGAATGTGTCTTCCCCAGTGTGGCTGTTTATTATTATTATTATTTCTGTAACTACAACTACCATTGTTTCTTAATGGAACTTAATGGTAGGAAGGGTTTGCTCTTTTGTTCTAAATAATTAAATACAAATGAAAAGAGGTGTGAGTGACCTATGTGATCTACTACCTTGATCTTGCCTCTATCTACACACAAACTTTTCCTTTGGAAGTGGTTTTATAGTACTCTAGATCCCTTTCTCCCATCTTTCCTGAAGTGATATGGTTCCCAAGTGTAGAAAAATACCAGCCTCCCAATGAACAGCAGTGATTTGCGTAAGTAATGCTTGGTGCATGTGTACATGTAAAAAAATACACACACTCGCAAAGAAAGTCACTCTGCCATCATTTGTACATTAACACAGGGAACTATTTTTAAAAGAGAATTCCTAACAATGGTTACTTATGAATTATGACTGATTATTTATGTAGTCCACTTTGTTTAAATGGTGTCTGCGTTCTTCAGTAAAACAATGCTGTATACAGCTGCTTTATTAATAATGTCACTGGCTCTTTGTTGCTATTTTTACATCTCCATCTTCCTGTTAGGCCATGTAAATAGAGATGCCTATAATTAGCGGACGCACAGCATTGTTTCACAAACCTTAGCTGTTACATTAAAATAGAAAGCTTATTACTTCTTTGGGAATAACTTTTATTTTGCCCTACAGTTAGGATACACGGAGCCAGATATGATGCAATGGAAAAATCAAAGACAGTATCTGCTAAGAGAGGCTACTGCTGCATTCTACATCCATTTAAAGACAAGGAAAACATTAAACTGCTCATTCAAAAATTATCTTTTTTTTAGTCTTTAGAATGAAAGTATATTTTCATTTCCAGCTGAACACCACAGAAACTGGTGTTGTACAACACAAAAGTTTTGCCCCCTGTGGGATGTAATTCTCTAGTCACCAAAAATTGTAACAGTTCCTCTTGCCTGACAAACAGAAGACTTGAGAAAGTAAGTCTGCAACCAGATCTGTTGTTTTTTGCCTATTTAGAAGGTTATTGTACTCTTGACTGTTTCTGTACCGAGGCCCAAATATAAAGGTCCAACCCCAGGAACCATTATCCATGTTTTTAAGTAAAGGTTAAGGATTTTACAAAGACTGATGCACATGGTATAGAACTATCTTCACTGGAAACATCTTTTTCCTTCTCTGGCAAAATTATTTTCTTTCCTGAATACATTTTGCATTAAAATAATAAAAGAACAGCATGCCTATAAATATTTAACATTTGCATATGCTTTTCTGGAGGCATTTGTATTCACAGGCTTTGTGGTTAGAAAGGACCACTTTGGTTGTGTGCCACCTGGCATAGAGATTCCAACCTACAACATGCATTTTGGAAAGATATGATGTCTTCGCATAGACATTGCAATGATAAGATTCACCTTGTCTCCAAAGAAGCTGCCATAATGCCTATTACGGTCATTGTTGAAAAACCTCAGTCCCACTTCTCATCTGAATTTGTCTGAAGTCAGTTTCCAGAGGCATGTCCTTTCCCGAAATCTCTGTCACCGATATATCAAAGATAACTTTGTACTGAGTCATATTTAAAATTGTTGACAAGGGATAACCACAAATACTAACATGGTTTCTGACAGCCAGGTATGGGGTTTTTTCCTCCTCCTTTTTTTCTTTCTTTTTTTTTTTTCTTCTCATGGTAGTAGTAGAAAGAATTTACTTTGAAGGAATCAGGAATAGGGAAAACCCAGCATTAAGTTTTCAATAGAAACCTATTTAAGAGTTGTTACCACTGTCCCACAATTAACATTTGCAGAGAAGTTTAGGGTACTTCTTTAAAAAAGCAACTTTAAGATGAAGAATTATATGCAAGTAAAAATATTAATCCCAAGGGAACAAAATTAGTTGGACAAACATGTGAAAAGACACTGCAGACCAGTCATGCTTTTAGAGAGATCCTTGTTACTGTGCTTGATAGCTTTATTTTTAAGGTTCTGAAGAAAAAAAAGTCCACAAACCTGAAGGACTTCCCACAGCCTGTCTGCTCTCCATTATAAATACTCGAGTGGTGCATGCAGCCTAAGAGAACAAAGTAAAAAGCTCCATGGGATATCTGACACTTGAAATTCAAACTACCAAAGTCATAAATTAAGTATATATGCCTGTGTGTGAGGCAGGGTGTAATGTTCTCCAACTGCTTCAATAGGCCTTGTGTAAACAAAGAACAGAAAAACTGGCTATAACTGTCAGCTTTCTAGTGGAAGGGGGGG